CCCCCCCCCCCATCTGTCAGCAGCCTAAATGGTCAAGTGAGGGTTTAGCTTGCCTGTTACCTGGACAGGCACACCTGTGATTCTCGTCAAATTTAGATCTCTTCATGCATGTGTGAGGTTATGAGTTCTCACAAGAATAAATTTTCTTAAGTTATTTCTTGATTCACTTCATCCTGTTAAACAGTTTAACCAACTTCTCATATGACCCAATACTATAAAAGGTCCAAAGGCTTAGGTGCATGCAACATTTCCTGAAAATCTGCTTTCATTTAATGAGAGTATGGTTTGCAGTAGGACTGTGCGAAGCTTTGGATCATGGTTCAGATTTGGAGATGTTTCAGATGATTTCAGAGGCTGGATCTACAAATCCGAATCAAATCGCGGGAATCTTTAGGCTTTCCAAATCGATTTGGAAAAGACTCAAAAATTCGGCCATAGGGTATAATGGGGAATCAATTAAATATCTATAATTTTGTTGTCTTTTGGCTGATTCAGATGAAACTTGTGGGAATGGTAGCCACTGCTGAGAGCATGATACGTGCCACGTTTCAAGGTGCAGGGGTTTCTGGGAAACTGCACCCCAAAGTTTTAAAAGCAAAACCCATGTCAAGTATGGGTGTGAAGCCACAGCGGGGTCAGAACTGCAGGGATGGTAGCCCCTGGTGAGGCCACAAATCCTGCCAAGTTTCATGGAGATAGGTGCAGGGGTTTGGGGGAAACTGCACCTCAAGGTGCAGACAAGCAAAGCTCGTGACATGGGTGACACTCTGTGTTAAGGTGCAGCAGGGTGAAAGCTGCAGGCCTACTAGCCCCTGCTGAGGCCACGAAGTCTGCCAGCTGTCAAGGAGATAGGAACAGGGGTTCTGGGGCCCTGCATCTCTAGCTACTGACAGGCAAAACTCGTGACATGGGTGCTTGTGCAACTGTCTCTGCCTTGGGGCACGGGTGGGGGGTGGAGGGGTGGGGGTTGAAGCTACTGCAGGCCTGGCTGCTAAGCTACTGTGTTACCAATCAGTCATGATTCACTCAGGGACTAGTTCAATACACAGTAGCTAAGTAATGGAACAAGTTAACGAGCAAGGATTAACACCTACAAAACCACAGACTAAGGAGAGGAAATAATACAGGCAATCAACTGCCCCAAGACCTAGACAAGTCAGTTGCACAAGCACCTGTCATGAGTCAGTAGCTAGGAGTGCAGGGCCCCTGAACCCCCCTGCACCTATCTCCTTGACAGCTGGCAGGCTCTGTGACCGCAGCAGGGGTTAGCAGGCCTTCAGATTTCATCCTGCTGCACCTTAACACACACACTGTCACCCATGTCATGAATTTTGCTTCTCCGCAGCTTGAAGCACAGTTTCCCCCAAACCCCTGCACCTATCTCCTTGAAACTTGGCAGGCTTTATGGCCTCAGCAGGGGCCAGCACCCCTGCAGTTTTCACCTTGCTGTGGTGTAACACATACACATGACATGAGTTCTGATTTCAAGAATTTGGGGTGCAGTTCCCCCAAACCCGTGCACCTATCTCCTTGAAACCTGGCAGGCTTCATGCTCTCAGAAGGGACTACCATTGCTGCTGTTTTTATCCAAATCTTCCAAAAAAATGAGAAAGTTATAGGCAGTTTCATGTTTCCCCATTATAGCCTATGGGCGAAACATCAAAATGTGTCAAAACAGTGGAACAGTTTTGACAAAATGAAATGGAACGGTGCTTTCGAAGTGAAACTTGAAATGAAACACCGTCCCATCAA